AAAGAGGGAGGAAAAGGGAATTTTCGAACAGTGAACACCCGTGCACACCTGTGTGGATCAGCGCGCTTGTATTCAAAGGTTTCCCCATGTAATGGTCTGCAAGAGGATGTAGAGAGCCATAGCCCTGTCCCCCAGGGCATGAAGCAGGCATGGAGGAGATCCAGGCCCCAGACATCCAGAGGCCCCAGAGTGCGAGAGCCCAAGGAGGACCACCGGAGGGGCATCCGTGCCACCCTCATGGAAAGGGCTGAGGATCCCCAGACGAGGGGTCACCCAGTATAGCCACCAAGAAGAAGCTAGAGGGGGCTGCACCGTCATGCCCGCTGGCTCTGCCGGCAGCCAGCTGTGCCAGAGTGAACCGAGCTGCAGGCCCAGAGGCCAGAGGCCCAAGGGCCCCCCGCGCCCCGGAAGAGGCCTGACCGAGCAACAGGCACCAGGCCCCGCCAAGTAGCCACCGGGAGTGAGCTGGTACATACCTGCGCGCCCAGCCCCGGACACCAAGAACCACCAATGCACCAACCCCTGAGGGCATCAGGACACATCTAAAACCTGCCGGGACACCGGCCCTCGAGGCCTGTAGTTGCCCACCCCGTCCTAGGAGGTTAAGAACCATTTCAGTTTCATATTTAAATATAGAAGCACCTACTATAAAACAAAAATGTCCTCATGACGTGACACAGATGTGGTTGATATACCTTTCTATAATTTAGTGAAGCTATTGCTATTAGGAATTTGAAGGTATTTGCTGTAAGATTTGATACCTGTAACTGTGACTGTGAAGTTCAGTGTGCAGCCATTCTCTGTCTTGTTATCAGACACTCTGACTTGATATGAGTAATATATGGACAGTATTATTTAGATAACCAATGCAATAAAAAGAAGTTGAAAGACATATTACCATTACTTTCCTTTTTTACACTTTGTAAATTCAGATTTAAATAAAATTTCCTTCTAAAACTTTGTCAGCGAACAGCAGAATCACACAGATGACAGTTAACATTCTGATTTGACAATTTAGACAGCACGGCTTCTCTCCACAGGATACACTCTATCTTTTCAAAGCACAAACACACAGAAAGTTCACTGGATGATAAAATAAATCCAAGTTATTACAATGATATATGTATTATTTCTGTAGTTACATATAATCAATAAACTTTGCTGGGATCTTGAAATATCAAAATTTAAAGCACTTCTTCATATCTGGAGTGTGGAAAGGCTAAAAATGACTAAATAAAAGTCTGCCAGCTCTGGACTTCTTAAGTTAGGTATCCACTGCTCATTCTGAAATACTTTTTTATGATAGTACTGAAGAGAGAATACTACAAAGAAATGAAATTTAAAATGGGATAAAAGTGTTTTACCCTCACTCTGTGTGAATCTCCTGCTCCTGTTTCCACACACTGATCTCTGCAGCGTGTCTGCTTTGAACTGACTCTTCTTCTCTTCCTCCTCCTCCTCCTCCTCTTTTGTTACCTCTCTTTGCACTTCAACACGTTCCCAGGAAGGTTTTTTTTGTACTCTGTTGGAGATTATTTTTTCTTGGTTTGGTACTACATGCAGAGCTAAAACTTCTTCTCACATCACATTATGTCATTGTGTGAAACTTTAATTCGAGATGTTGGAGTATCAATAACTTTATTAACGTCGCCCTATTTCCTCTTAATACCAAGCAACTAATTTTTCTTCTCTGTCAGAGACATGAGTCTGAGAACACTACGTCAAATACCATTTCTTTTTCTATTGAGGTCACATTTGTACCACATGGGCTTTCTTTTCAAAAAGAGTCTTAATTTTCATTTATTGGGATCTCATAAATGTACAATTATTTTACCTCTTCCAAAACAAAACATTCACTCATTTACCTCACATTTTCAGTCATCGTCCATACTTCACGTTGTTGTTTAATAAGCTCTGAAACCTTTGGGCATTACAATATTTAGAAGAAATAAACAATTTTTCAGTTGAATTTACAAACATACACATACACACACACACACACAATATATATGCTAAAGTACATTAAATTCTACTTCTCCTGTCTTTATTAATTCAATTTCAACATACTGAAATCGGGTTGTTTTTTTATTGATTTGTTTAGTTGAAAAATGAAAAGAGGACACCGCTGCCCACAACCACAACCACCAACATGTAGTCGTCTGATTACACAACACAGAAAACAGGCAACCAGGTTTTAGAAAAAAAAATATCAGAGCACACAAACCAGAGGGCGGTGCCCATTTCTGAAGTGAAAGTAGCATTAATGCCAGTCTTCAAATGACCTGAAATTTTATTTATTTATTCATTCATTTTATAAAACAGGAAAACAGGAAATGCGGCCCACGGCCATCAAATAAGTGGACCTCTGATCTCAAACATAAAACAAGCAACAATGGTTCCTGGTTATAACAGGTCAATAGGTTGAGACAGATTCTTCAGCATTTGGCAGCCTGTCAAAGTAACAAATGATCTTGACGTCTGTGATAAATAATAAAGCCCTCTGGAAAGTGAGAGCTCTCCTAAATAGATTTCAACAAAGCTGCCATGAAAAGATTCCCTTCACAGGCCGGTGTCCTGAATGGGCTTTACAAACCAAATCCCAGAACTTCAGAGAGCTAGCTTACACAATTCCTTTTATCCATAATGGACTTCTCAGACTCATCAAAAGCTGCTTTTTCCTTTGCCTGAACTTTCATCTTCTTGCTCTAATATCTGGTGGTCATTTGCTGACATCTCTAAGTATGACTAAACTTCCACAAATATCTTCCTGCCTCACTCAGGCCTCATATCATTCCATAATCAAACAGGACTTAATTTCCACTAAAAAAAAATAAATTAAAAATTAAAAATTAAAAAATGAAGCAACATGATTTACCACAGGATTAAGACATAGACATAGACACAGACAAACAGGCACACACAGACACAAACATGCATTCCCACCCTCATGAACACATATACAAATACTCAGCACTCACCCAACGTGGAGACAAACAGAAATCGACACCTTACACACACTCACACTCCCCAAACATACTCTACACCCCAGGTCCAGATACCCTCAACCCCGGAGAGACAATCGGCTCCTAGACCCAGGAGATGTTACCCTTTTCCCTGGGGTGGGGTCACGCAAGTAGTCCCTACCTGGGACCAGCTCCCCTGCTGACTCCAATGACTTCCACAAGCAGAGAAAGAGAGAGTAATACATTGTGCTGAAAAATTATTAAATGATCTCAAGAGAAACTGCCTCTGCTTTCAGGGAGAAAACTTAAACAGGCACAAATTTTCAGCTCTAACTCCCATGTGCAGGAGTATTGCTACTGTGAATGAACGGAACGGAAAAAAAACCATCCACCCAAACATGTGGTAATAATGAGTATGAGCCGTTTTGTGTGTGTGTGTGTGTGTGTGTGTGTGTGCAGTGCTTGTCTGTGCCACAGATAGCTTTTATCAAAATGTGACGATTAGCAAAAGAGTGGGTGAAGGTGTGGAGATGGGTGTCAGATTATTTTTAATCCACGATACAAGTCCTGCATAAATGCGTCAAAGTTCCGCAAAGCCTCGCTTTGCCCATCACTACCACTAACCCACAGTCAGCAGGCAATATGATTGCAATACTTTGTAGTATTAGAATTTGCAATGGTATTTGTGTCTTTACTACTTTTGCTTAGACCAGTGGATCACAGTGACAGTTGGACAGTTGGTCCTTGGTGGAGTGTTGTGCAGACACTATCAGGAATTAGTCCAGCATAATTTAACATAAGGAATCAAACAAATACAAAGTGTGATTTGTGCATGCTTACTAATTATTTACTAATTCAATTAGATATTAATTATTTAAATTAAAAAAGTTGAAGACATTTACACCACACAACGACACACAGAAAAAATACAAAGGATATGAAACAGGTGAGTAAAATATGGACCAGTTTTAACAGTTTACAATGTGCTTGTTTTACACAAATTAAATAGAGAAACAGACGTGTAGAAAATCTAACGTTTTTTTTTTTTTTACCTCACCAAGCAGGACCAGGCAAAATATACAAGCTGTCAGTGCAGAAGCACCAGGTTCACAGTCTCATGACAGACCACAAGATACAGTCTGACTTAAGGGTTTACTCTGCCCTCTGCTGGTGAGTGTAACAAATGTGCAGAGGGCATTTAACCTACAGTAGACATGTTTTATACTCAAAATTATTAATCTCATTAAGCTATGACAGAATGTCCAGAGAGAAAAGCATCCCGGGAAGAATTTGTTGAGTAACATTTTCCCAGAATGAGAACAATATTGGCCATTAAAAAGTGCTCACCTGTTGGACGTTTCAAGCAAGTATTTATCCTTAAACAATCTAGGTAAGTTAGTATTGCCACACCTGATAGGATTTGGCTCAGATTTTATGCCTGATGATCTTTGAGGCATAACACTCCTATTTAATGGGGACTGGGATGTAAACTAGGAGTACACTAGCTGTGATGCCCTGAGGCTTGATTTGTGCCTGCTGTCTTCTCTTGGTCCTGACTGGGGACCTTTTACATGTTAGGCAAATGTGTTCAGTCCAAAGAAGCACACTTACCCTTGCATAATAAAACATTTAAAATGTTACCTGAAAAGATTATTAAACCAAAAACATGACAGCAAAATAACAGAGGGATTAGGAAATTATGTCCAAGTTCCAGTTCTTATTTTGCAGAGACGCAACTTTAAGACGCAGAGGTGTGGAGATGACAGTGTGAGAAAAATGGTTCAAAGTGGAATTATTCATACACAAAACCACCAGATCAAAGAACATTCATCTGAGGGAAACCCACAATGAAACTCAAATTTTGTCGATTACATCATTCACAGTGGAGTACACTGGCTCGTCTTCCTCTTTCTCCTTTTCTAGTTCAGACTGTTTCAGGTCCATCTCTGTCATCATCTCCTCCTCCTCGCCCTTCACCATTTCATCTTCCTGTTTGTCTTTTATTGCTTTCTTAATTTCAGCATACTCAGTCTTTGTGCTTTCTTGCTTTCTCTCTGACTTGGTGTTTCTTTTCAATAGGGAAAAATCAATGTCTGCATACTCCACTTCTTGCGGAGCACCGCTGATTTCAGGCACGTCTTTCTCTGCTGCCACACTTTCATCTTCAACTTCTTCTTGTGGGTTGGACTGATTGTCTTGTGTTTCTTGACCATCATATATGTGCTAGGTACAACGTAAATGATACAAGTCAATTACCAGCCTCCAAAAACCCAGTATTGCAGATTAGATTGTGTCTAATCTGCAATACTGCAATACTAATGTCAAAATCATGTCATGCAGTTCTTTCTTCTGTGGGTTGAAAATCAGGTTGATTCGAACCTAAATTACTTTTTCACAATGCTTACACATTCCTTACATTTTTCCATTAAGTTTAAGTTGTGGTGACAGAAGACAGAAATCATGGTGCTGACTGTACTATAAGACATACTATCTAACAGAAACTTCAATTTATGCATTTTTTTTTTTGGTAAAACTCCTAATTAAAGATGAAAGTCTATTACATTGATTGTTTGATTAAAAATCTGATGTGGCTGTGTACAGAAGCAAAACTACAGAAATTCTGTCTTTATCCAACAAATTATGGACTTATATGTGGTTCAGCATTCCTATGTTATAGTCCACAGTGTTTTCATGAAATAATCTTAATGAGAATAACTGGGATTATGTTGATTTATCTGTTTTCAGTGATTTAGGAGGATTATGCAAAACTTACCCTTTTGGGTAACATGAAACTAGGTGGAGAAATAAAGGGTGGGCTTATGAAAAGAACCAATTAATTTTTGGTACTGATCTGTCCCTGTTTTTTAAAATTGGAAAACTTTGAAGCAAATATAATCAAATATAATTTGATTATGTTTGCATGTTTGAAATAAATTATATCTATCTATCTAAAAAAAAAAGATGAGTTTTCTTTTTCTCTGTCCTCTTTTATTGCATATATTTTCCTTAAGCAAATGCTGATGAAACAGACTGATAGAGGTTGGACGTAGTTCAAAGGCATCATACACAGTAACCTACCTCCAGTACTTGTTTATCCTTGCAGATCTTTTAGTACGTTAAAACTATATAGAAAACCAAAAGACTAAATATGTATATTTCAGTAATGAGGATATTTGTGCACAATTAAATACTTTATAATATGTAAAAAAAAAAAAAAAAAGCTAAATGAACATAAATACCTGTGGATCGTCTTGACTTGTTACCATCTCCAAAGTCTCATCCAAATTTCCAGAATTCTTTGTTTTTTTTCTGAATAAAAGGGTTTTACATTATTAAAGTCAAGTGTAAATGCATCTATTTAAAAAAACGAAAATATAATAAAAATAAGTGTCGTACCTTGAACATTTTTTAATCAAACAGCAAACAACTGCAGAAAGAACTACTCCAATCAAAAAGGCAATGATGATTTCTAAATATCCCACGTTCAAAACCGATGAGTCAGCTGTACTCAAATGGAACAACATGAAAAAGGTAATTTCAAAGATGCTTTCAATTATATACAGTCCAATTAATTGATTTTCTAATGTTTTTATAAATGCAAAGGTCTCACTTATGAAAATTAGAATACATACCCGCTGTATCGGAGACACTTCGGATCATTAGATTTTTTTTTGCTTCTCCCTTTTCATTGTTGCTCACACATTCAACAGTGCTGTTGCCATGGTTTTTTACCTTTAGACTGACAGTGCTGTTGACTGTGTGGTTTGACACAGTCGTTTTGATAGCGTACTCTTTGTGGTTTCCTAGGAGCGGCCATTTGATGGTAGGTAAAGGAAACCCTTCACTGATACACACACAGGTCAAAACCTCTGCTTGAAGCACACATTCAGAGACATCCTGGATCTTTGAAAACCCTGAAAACACATGACCAGAAATATAAACAAGGTAAGGTATGATTTTAAGTGTAAATATGAACTTCACATCAAACAACCGTACTATCTACTTACAAGACACAATCACACTGACAGATGATGTTACAGTTGTGTCTGGATGTGTTGCTGTGCAGGTGTACTGTCCCGAATCTTCTGCTGTCACATACATACTGTCAATACATAGATTACTTTTTCCCCATGGTGATCCTAACCACCATCATAAAATCATTCAAACTGGTAAAGACAAATTTGTCTTCAAATGTTTTGCTGTACAGATGTAAAAATGTACAGTCCACAATAGTCTTATCACATTCTAGATGACAAGTGTAGCTGATGCAGTGTTGTGCAGGTCAGTGTAATTTTCATTGTAAAGGTCTGTGCTTCCCTCATTAACAGTTATATTCCCAGTTATCTCGAGTTTCCTTTTATCTGTGGCACAGATTTGGTTTATTAAGGAGGTAAAAAAGCACAAAGAATATTGTCGATATTAATAGAGTACAAAAAATGCAGAGCTGGAACAATCTGCAACTTCCAGTGATGGGAATAACGGCGTTACAAGTAACGGCGTTACTTTTTTCAGTAACGAGTAATCTAATTAATTACTATTCCTACCGTTACAACACCGTTACTGTTACTAACAAGAAAATGCGGTCGCGTTACTATTTTTCAACAAACAGACGGTTGAAGCTGTGTTCAGCTTACCGCTTCTTATATCAGTTGCACGGAAGTAGCTGTAAGTAATCTGCGACTACACTGTCTAAGGACAGTGGCTAGCAAGCACTCTCTGCTTATGAGCAAAAAACAAAACAGGGGAAGTTTCAGGAGTGATGGCAAGAGAGAGAGAGAGAGAGAGAGAGAGAGAGAAGAGCAGAAAAAGAGAGAGAGAGGAGTTTTGAGATGTGAGAGATTTGTGACGTTTAGCGTGTTTGGAGTGTGTAGTTAATGTGTTGTCTTGTGTAGTTAGTGTGTAGTGTTGTGGATAGTTTTGTGTTGTGTGTCAGAACAATGAGGCGACTGCTGTCTCCAGGTAGAAACAGGAGTGATACACCTGCTGCTGTCAGACCTGCAGGTATCAGGCTGTGATGTTCTCCTTTATAGTGGACAGAAATTATTTTTTGGAGTGGCACAAATAATTTGTGTGGCATCTTATTGAATGCAGAACAGCTGATTGTTCTGTAAATAGTTTGAAATGGTTATTTAAAAAAATCAAGGTAAAAGGTAAATGGATGCAAATAACTTTGTTGTTTGCAAAACTTGTGCATAGGATTTTAAAATTGACAATTTATATTTGCATTTAAAGTTCTGAAATATGATTCATTAAACATGTTTGTGGTTGTTACAGTAAAAAATATAACTTTTTCTACTCTGATTTTATGTTTTTTGTCTGATTTTAGATCCATCCATCCATTTTCATCCGCTTTGTCCGGGGCCGGGTCACGGGGGCAGCAGCCTAAGCTGCATAGCCCCTGGAATCCCTGTGACACGATAAGGTAGCGATTCAAGGAGGGGTGATTTTAGATCAATTGTGTTAATACAGTATGTAAAAATGAAAACATGACTGTAAATTCAGACACGTGAGGTTGTGCTGAAAAGGAATGATACCAAACAAGGCAAAGTAAATCGTTTTTAAAGGTAAAATGTAGAGGGAAAATCAAAAGTAGTTAAAAATGGCCAATTATACCCTGGACCCCAGAGGGTTAAACACTTTTTTTTTTAAAGTAACGCAATAGTTACTTTTCAAGTAATTAATTACTTTTAGAATATTGTAACTCAGTTACTTTTTTGAAGAAGTAACTAGTAACTATAATTAATTACTTTTTCAAAGTAACTTGCCCAACATTGAACAAAACAGCCTGGTGGTAAATAAAAAGAAAACCTGAAACCCTGACACATACAACGAGTTGATTGGGATATTTGGCTCCATGTTAACAAAACATCTGGGAAGTAGGTACACAGATGGTGAGCTAGGTGACAAATCTCTGTTTGTCGACTATAATAAATGTTGTTGCCCTTGCTAGTTGGCTTCAGAAATAATGGCCAGTTTAACCTATTATTTGTACTCTATTAATGTGCAAGGTCAGTTAAGTGTTAGGACAGACAAAGCCATCCACCATTAGCAGATGTCAGTGTTGCTGTCTATGACAGGAAGTTATAAGCAATGAAGAAAGACATTAAGATAGATGCTGGAAGCTCATGACAGCAATGCTAAGCATTATATCCAAAGCACAATGTGCCTATTATTTTAAAATATAAGAAATGGGTTCCAATGGCTCTTTAATACATAGATGTGGGCAGCTTGACATATTTAAAAGTGTCTGAAGACAATATTTTACTCATATTTTCAGATGACTTAGTGAAAAAAAAGCTCTGTCTAAAAGCACAAAGTTATTTACTTACATATTACTGTTATATTGATGTTTTCCTGCAGGGTATTGTTCATATGTTTGCTGTACAGACGTACTGTCCAGAATGTCCAGTTGTAGCATTAATTATGGAGAGTGTGGCTGATCCAGTGTCATTGTGCAGGATTATATCAGAACCAAGTTTAGACCACATAATCAGAGATGGAGGAAAACTTTCAACACTGCAGGTCAGGTTCAGAGTTTCACCCTCCTTCACGTTTGTGCCCCCTGTGATGTTAACTTCCTTAACATCTGTTACACAAAAATACAAATTACACAATAATGAAACTTCTCTTTTTCTCTTTCCAGCAAGACCAGTTGACCAAGAGAGCACACTGCTTTCAAAAGAATTCAGCATACAAAGTTATATAGTGAAAATACTCACAGTTTACTTTTAAAGTTGAACCCCTCCTCTGTAGTTTTTTCCCCAGCGAAGCAGATTTTACAGGTGACATTGGTGTTGTGGTGTTCAGCAGAGGAGTTGAAAGTCAGAGTTGAAATGTGTCTTTGTGTGAAAGCAGTTAGAGTTTTAGTCCTGAAAGAAGTGCTGCTTCCTGTAATGTAAGATTCAGTCCCTCCTGCTCCTCTCCATGTCCAGGTGATTTCAGGAGCAGATCCAGAGCAGAGACCAGGAGCAACACAGGTCAGTGTGGCCTGCTGTCCCTCTGTCAGTGTGGGAATCTTAACTCTGGGTTTCTGGCTAAGACCTAGTGGAAACATAGAACGTAAGAATAATCTGGTTAACTGCCTGAAGTTCATCAACTACTTATATTTTGGCTTAAATTATAGGAAATTATGTTAAACAGGTAGATGTGGAACATAAAGTGTTGTATTTCGTTCTAACAGCACACAGGGGTAAATAAATGTGCAAAATCACTTCATACTTGAGACAAACAATTAATAAATAAAGTAGCACAAAAACCAATATTTATTCTCAACATCCTTTTTTTGATTTGTTTGTACCTTCAACTGAGACAGTTGTCGTTTGAATAGATGCAAATCCATCTTCTCTCCGATTCAGTTCACCATTAACTCTGATCCGATACAATCCAGAATCCGACTCTTTGAGATCATTAATGATGATGCTGCAGTTGTTCTGTCTTATATCAGGCTCTAAGAGTGACACACGTCCTTCAAAGCCATACTGAACGCGGATGTTTTTATTGGTGTGAAATATTATTTGATGATCATAGTCACATCTTGAATATGCTTCACATTTGTACCAAACTATATGTTTGGGTGTAAATCCAAAACCAGTAGCGAAAGAACACGGGATCACAACACAGAGTCCAGCCTCTGCTGTTAGTGTCTCACTAAGTGTGATGCAGTATTGTCCAATGCATTGTTGTGATGTGCCTGTTAATACAAAGGAGGAGGTAAAAAAAGAGGAAAAGAATATTTGGTTCATCTGAATAGTTGTATAATGCACAAGTCAGGTGACAGTGATCTTACTGATTTATGTGAACTTTAAATTCTGTTACATGAATTTATACTTATAATTTGATTGCATGTCAAAAAAACACTTTTACTCTACACACACATGCACACGCACACACACGCACACATAACCGCATAAAACAAAACACTAATAAAGCAGAATTAGAGGAATATAAAGAAGAAGAATCAAACCTGTTTCAGCACACACACACAAAAGGAAAGTCGCCCAGATCAGAACAAACATCCTGACTTGATTCTCGGCACATTCAGTTTCTCCCTCCAGAGACAAACTTTATTGCAGCAAATGAAGTAAAGAGAGATTAGAACAAAGGAAATGCAACATTTTACGTCACACATCGCAATACAGGATGTTGCATGCTTGGTTATTCCATAGTTATGTACCAGTTTTACCGACTGTGCCAACACCACTACCCTAAAGTTTTTATGGTAAACACACACAAAGATCTGTTCTAAAAAGATTCAAAAGGTCAACAAAAGCACTATTACAAAACAAACTGTTAGAACTGCATATTCTCTGTCGTATTCCATGTAACTTTAGGTCATCTGTATCATTTCATGAATTCAAGAAGTGGCTTCCGTCTAGCAAGTTTTTTGACCAGCACAGTTCACACTTTTATATAATCCTGCGGCTCATTTAGTGTTTTAAAATATATTTTCCACAAAAAACATTAAATGTTTGTTTTTTTTACCTCTTTTCTCTGGTCTTTCACCACTCCTCTCTCCACCGTGATCTCAGCTGACCTTTATCCTTGAAGTTTCTCTTTCTCGCTTCTCTATTTTCTTTCTTCCTTCTTTTTACAACAGGATTTCAGGAAGTGTGAGTACATGTTCAAATTGAATTAGGGCAGACCCACTTTTATGAAGTTATTATTTTATATCGCACTATATATGCTCTAATAAAAAAAACTCATCAAGTAATGAAAAAACAAACCTTTATAAAAACAACAAAAAGATGCTCCATGACTGAAACTTTATAAAGATAGGTTGTTGCTGAGCACTGGAAAAAGTTAAGTAGGTTTAGTTCCAGGTTTGTTAGATACAATGAATACAAAAACAGGTGCAAGAGAAAAAGAGAAAAAGGCAGGATATGTGAGAGTCTCGGACATTGACAGAAGTATTTTTTGAATGTTAAATTCATGAAATACTCTCAGTTTGGTTATGTTCCTTAGATTTTGGTTTCATTGGTTTGGTTTGGTTGCTAGTGTGATTGTTTATGTCTTCAATACTTATATAACAATAACTATTTTAATGGTTTTGGGTTTATGTTTTCTTTTGATTTGCCTTCTGTTTATTTTGTCTGTGAAGGTTCTCAGTCATCCAGGGCATTCTAGTCTAAGGAGCTTGGAAAGAAAGGCGTCTTGACTTCTTTAGCTTTTTGAAGACGTTTCACTTCTCATCCGAGAAGACTTTCCAGTTCTAAGAGCAAATGGTGGAGAGTCCCAGATTTTAAACCCTATGGGAGTGTCCCCCTGTTTTATGGGCACCCTATTGATCCTCTACCTAATCAGAGCAAGCTGTGGTCGCAAATTTTGACCATCCTGATAACCTTCTCCCACCAACGATGTGGAGATCCAACCTCTTTAGATCCAATTAAAATCAAGACACTCAAAAAGATGCTCTGGAAAAGAGTAGAATTCTTGGAACAGAGTTTAATACACTGAATCATATGAACAGCAGGAAAAATACATACAGACATTTAGCAAGAGAATTACATAGCAGAAAGCAAGCAAAGCAAAACCCCGGGGTGTACAGCCTTAAGCACAGACAGCAGAGCAACACAGAGACGGACAGAAATAAGCAGCAGGAAGAAAGTGCTGGGGTGTCATCTGGTCCCCTAATATATAGGGACCAGTATCCCCGCCCCCTGCTGCTGGGTAACTTTCCCACTCGTCCTGAATCGTCCAGAGGCCAGTCAGGACCCTTTGGCTTTTTCTTATCACAGTTGGGCTAACCCTAACCCAAACATCGCACATTAATCCTAATTATTATATCTTACACAGCAAGTGGCCCAATCTGATCTTATAACAACATTGGTTACATACTTAACATGGTGATTCTCATATATAAAAACATTCAGTGTAGGTTCATGGTGTGTGTGTGTGTGTGTGTGTGTCAGATTATATCACATGATATTTTATTGTGATGTGTTCAGGATCTCTGTTACAATGTTACTGTTTTGGTTGTGCTGCATGAAAGGCGTTGAGTGTGCATTGGGGGAGGTTAGTTACTGGAGCTGGAGAGAGAGTTATTCAGGAGAACTCTCCCCTTATATCAACTGCCCTGTTACTGTACCACCTTAACAGAGGTGTGGACTCGAGTCACATGACTTGGACTCGAGTCAGACTCGAGTCATTAATTTTATGACTTTAGACTTGACTTGAAAAAATGTTCTAAGACTTGTGACTTGACTTGGACTTTTACACCAATGACTTGGGACTTGAATTGGACTTGAACCGGTTTACTTGAAAAGACTTGATATTTTACCCCAAATATAAAATTTAACATGCATATTATATAGAGATTGAAAATGTGACGTCATTCACGGGTAGAACCGCAAAGGATTCTGGGAACTCGTGGCAAGCGGTACTAGCGCACGCAGGCTTTCAATTAAAATCAGTTATACAGCGATAAAAAGAAACACAAAAATGTCAAGAAGCTGTTGTATTATTAACTGCAATAGCCGGTCGCATGACAGCCACGGGAAGCCGACGGGTAAAGAGATCGGTTGTTATCGGATTACGTCGTTGAAGAGAAATTGTTCGAGCCATGTTTCCGAAGTAACAAAGACGCGACGGATGGCCTGGATTGCAGCCATTCAAAGACCAAATATAACGTCCCAGAACACTCCAGCTCACAGGTTAGTCTGCTCCAAGCATTTACACGAAGGTCAGTGTTTTTTAGTAGTTAATACGTCATTTTCATAACATAATTGGTGATATAGGTTACAAGCAAGTCTGGCGCTGAACAGAAATTGTCGCGCTATGCTCCTTTATTTATTGTGCATAAATAGTGAATTGTCCTGACACAATATTGCGTTTCGCTTCTGTTATTATGGTACATTGACAAAAACATATACTTTTATTCACAGGGTAAAACAGTTGTTTTGTATCACTAATTGCCCAGTACGATTACAGCATACAGTATTATTGTCACTGCTACATTTCTGTGATGCTACCAGAAATTATTTCCACTACTAATTAATTACCGTTGAGCTCAAAGGTCCTATTAATAAACGGTTAACGAATGTGTATTTATGACGACGATTTGTGAGACTGGTAAACTTATGATACGTACGATGGTCTTTCGTTCTACACGGTGCATTTCAAGGTCCTGCACCCATCCGTCGGTAAACTGTACCTGGGCTTGTTGCAGTGACCGGAAGTTACTAAACTTCATGAGTGTATGCACTCACTCCAAGAACCGTATAATTATAAATATGCATATAAATATGCTACGATGAGATAGCTGACTTCATCTAACTAGCAAATGTTGTCCAGGCTACGTTGGTGATGCAGTTTTTTTTAATGTGTATGATATTTTTGTCATGCGATTTTAAAGCCGGTCCTACAACCGCATCCAAGAATAACATGCAGCTTATCTCAGAACTGTCGGTGAAAATTATTCTTGGAGCTAGGTTTAATTGAGCTGCATTTTAAAGAGGTGCAATTTCACAATTTGTGTATATTTTCTAAGTTCACTATTTTGTCATGTGTTGAGAAAAACACAGATTTTAAAATTACATGGTCTAATATTTACATTTAGCATAACTGCAACATTATTTTTTCTGTTTTTTTTTTAAAGACTCGAAAGGACTTGAAATTCAAAGTTTCAGACTTGTGACTTGACTCGGACTTTTACACCAGTGACTTGAGACTCGACTCTGACTTGCCTGACATTACTTGAGACTTGACTTGAGACTTGAGGATAAAGACTTGAGACTTACTTGAGACTTGCAAAACAATGACTTGGTCCCACCTCTGCACCTTAATAAACCATGTGCTTAAGACTCTATGTGAAAGTGCAGTGCAGATAGATATACAGTTTATATAGTTATTTTGTTTTTTAGTTTTGTGTATTTTCTAGTTGATTCTGTTGTTCTTAATATTCAAGCAGTTTTGTATCTTCAACTTGTATCAGGTCTTTCTTAGTCGATTAGCTCCTGTTGCTTTTTTTAAATTTTGGCTTCTGTTTGATAGTTTGTGAGTTTGTCCAAGCTTCCCCAGTATCCTCTTATACTGTGTCTTCAATGTTGGGGTTGTTACTCTAAAAAACTCTAAATTATTGCACATTACTTGTTACAATTATTAAAAGTAATGCAGCACATTAGTTAACTACTTGTCAGAAAAAGTAATTTGTTATACTACTTGCTACATTACTTTTGCATTACTTAGCAATGATAAATATGCAGAGAAAGAAAAAGAACATGTTATAATATGTAAATGCTGTTAAAGAACGTTCTGTGTAGAGTTCATGATGTGTGTGAAGGATTTATAATGGGTTACATAATTTCACGAATATATATTTAGTGTTAAAAATGTCTTTATTTGAAATGTACATGTGTAAAGTGTAAGAGCTAGTTTTTCGTGAGAACACCCTTGTGGACCAATTGAGAAGGACAAGAACTGAACTTTGAATCACAATAATCCTTCAAAATGTTTTTCTTAAAGTCATGATGACTGAATGTGACAGCCTCATCTGTAATCTTACCTTCACTACTTTATGAAATGTTTATACATAACATGAATATTGCATGGATTTGCACTACCATGAGTTGACCAACATGGCTGCTTCTTTCAATCTGATGATTTTGATGTGTTTGAATTACATAGATTTTTTTATTTTTTATTTTTATTTTTTTTTTACAAAAGAATAGCCTGTACTACAAGCAAGTTGTTCAGGAGCAGTGTTTGCTTTGAAAGAGAAAACACACATCCCTTTAGGGTTGTGTCAGCAAGGGTATCCGGTGTAAAGATCTGCCAAATCAAACATCACATACGTCCCCTGAAGAAACCCCTTCTAAATGTGAGACTCTGTGAGTCTCTTTTTGCACATATCTTAAGGAATAGCGCATAACTGCCTGACACTTGTCCAAAAAGCTGTAAAGTTCAACAGGTTTCACAACATTGTAAAGAAATGCAATTTTTCTAGCTGCCCACAGAGGTCGACAAATGTGCAAAAACCCCCATTAAGATAATAAAAGCAGCTGTAACGATATACTTTTTATGTGCTCATTTTTAATCTAGCTTTTCAATTTAAAGGGTGTTAAAGAGAAATTACACATCAATTATATGTAATAAACATACAAACTTACCAGGCAAACACAACATAAATGAAAATAAGCACAATTATGAGGACAGAAAAGTAAAGAGAAGCCCTGACAAATGATGAGCTGTAGTAAGAATAGAAGACTATAAATGTTAGGGTTAATGTGTTGTAGGTTGTCATTTAAAAAGCTAGAATGCTTTTGTTTGCTCCCTATGTAACCCACGCATATGAGTATGTGCACGACCTTCATAATGAGAAAAATCTGCCTTGAGAAGAACAGACTCCACTCAATGAAGGAAGCCACCTGGCGGGACAAGGTAACAACAACATCCTGGTAGGGCTGCACTCACATCGTATAACCATGCTTGCACAACACACTTTGTAAACATATATAGTAATTTGTCTTAGTTAACACAGCAACAAGCTTTATGAATATTCATGTGTGTAAACAATAAAAGCAACCTGCAGGGGGAAGCAAGTTGAAGTGGGTTGGAGACAACTGCTTCCCTCGCGGTGAGTGTAAACCAGAGCTCTGTGTGACCTCGTTCCTGAGTGAGTTTCTGTTTATCCAGCAGTATCAGAGGTGAAACTCTGACATTAATTTGCAAGTGTTTGCTTGGCAATACACTGAATATGTTAGTTAGCAATGGTAAGGAAGGAACAAGAGAAAACTGAGTGTCTGGTGTTTTCTGACTTGGGCACTGTGTTTTCCTGTGCCCATCTATGAGGGTGTAGCCCTATTTTCTCACCTGCTTCTCCCACAAATTCAGTTCAATTCAATTTTATTTATACAGCGCCAAATCACAACAACAGTCACCTCAAGGAGCTTTATATTGTATAGTAGACCCTACAATAATACATACAGAGAAAAAACCAAACAATCATATGACCCCCTATGAGCAAGCACTTTGGCGACAGTGGGAAGGAAAAACTCTCTTTTAATAGGAAGAAACCTCCGACAGAACCAGGCTCAGGGAGGGGCGGCCATCTGCTGCAGCCTTTCTCAGTGGTCTTCTGCAGCCAGTGATCCATCAATGGCAATCAGCAAAATGACATTTAAGACAAGCTCAGCCCTTCACTCTGCCAGTTTGTCAGCTACCTCACGGTGGTACCCAGGCTTTCATGCTAGTTGTTGTTCATGTTTTTCTCCTCGTGCTTACTTTTGTCTCTTTGTGCCTCAGTTCTCTTGCCAAAGACTCAGATTCAACTCACCTGCAGTACAATCACCTAGATGCAGGTCGCTGCTGTCAAAACTCACCGTCAGCCTGCAAACTCACCGCGCTCACATGCCTATGTCCCTGCTCTCCGCTGGATCACTGGAAATATAAGGTCGGAACCTTTCCTTTACACACCCTGCAGCCAGATGCTCACCCAGCTACTTTTCACTAAAATCTTTAATTATTCTCTCAAACTGGGGACGGACGCTTTAAAGCCCACTTACATACTGGCCTATGTAAGAGATTCAATTTCAATTTCAATTTCAATTTCAATTTTATTTCTATAGCACATTTAAAAGTCACAGGTACAACAAAGTGCTTCACAGACGAGCCATATTTGCAGATTTACAACAAAAGAGAACAGTCAACAACAAAAAATACAGTTATAGAATGGTAATATTACAACAAGCACGAACCGGGAGGAAATTATACTAAGTGGTTTGAAAGGCGAGCTTAAACAAATGGGTTTTTAACCGTGATTTGAAAGATTGAGTAGTTTCCGACGCACGGACATCAACCGGCAAGCTGTTCCAAAGTTTTGGTGCAGCAAAAGCAAAGGCACGATCCCCTTTCGTCTTTAGTCGAGACATTGGTTGCATTAGGAGCCCCTGATTAGAGGATCTGAGTGCCCTTGTGGGGATATATAAATTAAGAAGGTCAATCAGATAGCTAGGTGCCAGGTTATTTAAAATTTATTGTGTAATGACATATCCCTTGATATTAATAACAAACTGTGTATGCAGCATATCATAATCATAAAACAAGCATGCTCTGTGATTAGTCCATGTAAACCAGGGGTCTCAAACGTGCGGAGTGGGGGCCACTTGTGGCCCACATCACCTTTAATTGGCCTGAAGAAGTATGATGCAATTTGGCACATGAAGTTAAAAAACTATTTTTGCTTTTTAAATAAAACTATAATTTTTTTTTTTTAGAAAAGCAAACAAAACACCACATTTTCAAAAGGTTTGGCAGGTGTTTTCTTGTTTGTTTGTTTGTTTGTTTGTTTGTTTGTTTGGGTTTTTTTTTGTATTACTTAAACATTAAGTGGTAATCCAATGAGTGCCAGCAGTGGCCCACAGCTCAAGTTCGAGACCCCTGATTTAAAAAGATTGTTGCCTCTAATTTGTACCTGTGGATGATTTCTCAGGAAAAGTTCAAGGTAGAGTTGTAAACTTTGTTTGTGTCATTTTCCAGGTGATATATTCATCTCTGTAATTATTCCTCCTGACTTTCTGGATATTTGGCTGCTAGTCTTTTCTTTTCATAATTTCTACCTTGTCATGCTGTCAAACTCAGTGCTGACATCATTGGATGATCATGCTGGCCTTCTCAGAGCCAATCAGCATCTGTTTTGTGTGCTATAAATCTTAGTGGTCTTCAGTTGTTCTGCCTTTCAGACTCCTTTGTTTACAATTTTAATGGACTCTATGTATAAGTTGAAATAAAAAGTGTAGTTTATTACATATAAAACATTCCCTACAATGCAATGACTGTCATTACAACAGCACAGCTTTCTGAAACTTGTGACTGGACTTTTTAGTTTATATGTTGTGCAAGAACATCATAATCTGGTGACACATCCGCTTTTTGCAGTGACATGTAGGTTCTCTCCTCCTGATGTAGGTTCACCTTTTTTCTTGAATTCCTTTGATGAGAAGAAACAGAACCTCATTATTGTCTAAAACTCTTGACTGCATTCAAAGAGTCAAACAAAAACATAAACATACATGTGGAGAAACATACCAGAGGAACCATATGTAGGTTATGCAGAAGGCATTCAAAGTGAGAGATACACCAGCAACAATCCAGGGAAGAACTGTACTGTAAGAACCACAGTGTTTCACACGAGCTGCTGTAAGACAGAAGAGAGCACATGCAAACACACATACACACCAAACACACACAGATAGATATAATAAAAATGTATATGATTATATATTGATAAATATAAATTATGTTTCCTGGAGCCACAGCTGAGAAGCTAAACATCTCCCTGCAGGTTGCCAACCTCTGCTCTAAATT